CACATTTACGCTGCAATCTGGAAATTGCTGTGTCAATTACAGTGTTACCATCTTTTGTTATTGAACTGCATGATAAGTATAAGTATGCAACATTTCTTCAAAACATTGACGGATAAAGCTTCTCTATCCAGTGTTGAGCCAGGTAATAGTGTGCGCTGGAAGACAGAGTAAAGACTCGTTTAAATCACATTTACGCTGCAATCTGGAAATTGCTGTGTCAATTACAGTGTTACCATCTTTTGTTATTGAACTGCATGATAAGTATGTTCAGATACAACTTTTTATCAAGTCAACAAAATTTCCTGAGAGCGGTTTCTGGCCACCTTATACTTCTAAAAGCGCTCCTGTATGATCAGCATGTTGATAAGATACAACATTTTGCAAAGTTACCAAAACTTCCTAGGAGTGGTTTCATCGCCGAAGTTAACAGAACTTCCTAGAAGCAATTTTCGAGCTTTAGAGCCACCTTAGTTTTCAACATCTCCCAGCAAATATATAGCCACATCTGAAGCAGTAACTGACAATAACCTATGGAATGGCCTATCTTAATATAAGAGTTTGGAAAGTGATGGAAACTATTTGTCAGCCTCTTTTATTCTACTTTATATTTACCTATATTAACTTTGTTACATGCGAAAACTGAATTCTGTGTAAGGCACTCGACATGCATATGACTATATTGCATAGTTTATACAATGTAGCACTCTACTTGAAGGCTACATAACATATATTGCCTTACTGGTCAGTGAACTTGTAAAATGAATTGCAGATTTATTTTGCCATCTGCCAGATAAAGCAATAGCTAAAGAGTTGTCATGGTTCCTGTTTGTTTCAAGTATGCATTGCTTGTAATTAAAACTCATTACATCACTTACATTTTTGTAGGCATCCTGTTGATACTGAGCAACATAATTCTGGACTTCCTTTGGTACTTCTTGTTTTTTCAAAGAATGGACAGCTTTGCAACAACTTCCTGTTGTTTTGTTTTCCAGAACTGTAGCTTATTATCTAACTCCTGCTGTAGCAGACCTAACAAAACGATGCCAAGTAATGAGAGTGTCAAAGGGATTTCGCTTGTTCACAAAACTGGAGCCTTATTTAATTGAAATGTTTAATAAATGGTATTGCATAGCTTTTCAAAGTGGTGTTTAAAGAGATGATAACGGTCCTTTATATCACATGTTAAAGAAATAAGTTTTCTTTTTGTATATGTTGTTATAATAAATTGCAAGTTTGATGGGATGTTAAGCTGGCTTAACATCCCATCAAACTCACTAAGCTGGGTATTACATTGAACCCAGTGAAAAGTGAATTTGCTTACCTGTACTGGCAATGTCAAGTGTGTCAGTGTGAGTTCCCCAATCTCTAAAAAACTTTCCTGACTCGTTCAGTTTGGTGTAGTGCTATAAAACATCAGATGCAATAATTTTAATAAGTGTGTTGCAGTGATAACATAAGTATGCGATTCACATAAAGGACAACACAAGGAATAGTGCATATGGCAAGCACTTCAATGATCAATATGACTGAGCATTTACCAGTATTATATAAGAAATAATGAGCTAGAACTGACAGTCGGTCATCAGGAAAATGCCAGCCAGTTTGGTCACGTTTGACAAAACTGCAACTGTGGTCAAACATTTAAGTAACAAAATTAATTGCTCAACATAATGCTGTAGATTAGAAACAATTTCTCATTTAGTTCAGTTGCTACACATACAACAGGATGAAATTTAAAAATAAATTTGAGAACTAGAATCAAAATAATCATAAAAAGTTTTGTTAGACCAGAGGGATTTTGAAAGTCAGATATATGTACTCTTGAGAAAAAAAAATGGCACTCTAACGATAAATAATAAGCATAGCACACCTTGGACTTATAGGCATAACCAAATACAATAATAATAAACACTTACCAAATCTTTCGGCATGCATGTCTCCAAAATTCACATTGATGTGATGTCATGATGCCGATGTTAGATATCCCAGAAGCACTCAGGCATACAATTATGCCAGGACTTCAACCTGGGTGAACCAAAGAGGATATATAACACTTGCTAGATCTTCGATACCATGTGCGAACCAAAATACTTATTATGTTATATATCCCAGAAGCACTCAGGCATACAACTATGCCAGGACTTCAACCTGGGTGAACCAAAGAGGATATATAACACTTGCTAGAACTTCAAAACCATGTGCGAACCAGAGTACTTATTATGTTATATATCCCAGAAGCACTCAGGCATACAATTATGCCAGGACTTCAACCTGGGTGAACCAAAGAGGATATATAACACTTGCTAGAACTTCAATATCTTGTGCAAACCAAAATACTTATTATATTATATATCCCAGAAGCACTCAGGCATACAACTATGCCAGGACTTCAACCTGGGTGAACCAAAGAGGATATATAACACTTGCTAGAACTTTGAAACCATATGCGAACCAAAATACTTATTATGTTATATATCCCAGAAGCACTCAGGCATACAATTATGCCAGGACTTCAACCTGGGTGAACCAGAGAGGATATATAACACTTGCTAGATCTTCGATACCATGTGCGAACCAAAAGTAATGCTCATGTTATATATCCCAGAAGCACTCAGGCATACAATTATGCCAGGACTTCAACCTGGGTGAACCAAAGAGGATATATATAACACTTGCTAGAACTTCGATTTACCATGTGCAAACCAAAATACTTATTATGTTATATATCCCAGAAGCACTCAGGCATACAACTATGCCAGGACTTCAACCTGGGTGAACCAGAGAGGACATATAACATTTGAGGGTCTCTACTGGTATTCTGAAGAAATCAAAGATTTATGCTGAAAAAGGAAGATCTCGTAATTGAAGCTTAGGCTTAAAAGTTTATGTAACGCAATGAGTTCAATCTAGATAATGAACAAGTGGATCATCTTGCGCACAGCCTTTATGTGATTCTTGTTCAGAAGAAGTGGAATGTCAGATTTCGTCTAGATAAACAAATGCAGACATAACAATATCTTAATGCATCAATAAAAGAAGGCATTACAGGGTTGGAAATTAGCACTTGCCCACTTGCCCAGGCGAGTGTCAAAACTACTTGGGCAGGTAAAAATCTTAGGCTTTTTGTTGCATTTATTAAAGGCACTCGCCCGATGGCCAGTGCTGTCAAAATTAAGTTTCCATCCCTGGCATTACAGATCAATGAACCCATTAAAATGTAAAATGGTAATAGAATGATTATAATATAATGTGGAATCCATCAATAATGATAAGAGCACAAATAAATGTTTAGGTAAGGAAAGACATGTCTTGTGAAATAAAAATACTGAGATCAAGTTACAGTTTGAGTTCTAATATAAACTACTCTATTTTAGTCACACTGCTCATCAGTGAAAATGATTTTAGTAAGATGAGGTATGGTTAAATGGGGGTGGGGGGTCAGGGGCACCTCAGGAACCCCTCTAGCCATGCCCTTGACAAAGTTTAGCAATAAAAAAAGAAAGAGGAAAAACAATATTTCTGTTTGTTATTTTTCTATTTATCTTTGTACTTTGTATCGGTATATTGTTTTATTATATCATAATTAAATAAATTTTGAGCTCCAAAAGAAACGGATAAAGTTGACCAGAATTTAAATACAGGGGTGGCAGATTTTCCCCACTCACCAATTTAATCAAACACACTAACTGGCAATACAAAATGATTTCAAAAGATAAAATGATTTACCTTAGCTCGCCCTTACTTTGTAAAGTTCAACAAGGTTTGCCATCCTTGGTCTGGGATCCGGGACTGCAGCTTGAAGTAAAGCAACGTCCAATCGGGCACACGAAGGGATTTAAAGAATTTTGGGGCACTGTCCCCCAGTATTGCTTCCAGGGCTTGTTTGGGGTCTTTTTTTCTCAGCAGCTGTTCTGAGATATCGCTTATCACTTTAGCCACTTCAACATTCTGGTCCACCTGATCGGCGAATAAAGATGCAAGAGGCACCTGGAACTTATCGCAAACATCGCTGATCAAGGTCCACATATCGCTTGTACTGTCCGGGTTGTCCTTTGCCGGGTCCTGTGTGCCTGAGCTGACAGCGTCGATTGACCGCCGTTTTTCACCTCATCTCGAAGGGCCTCTAACTGGGAAAGCACAACTTCAAGTTCAGCCTTAAGCTTAAGATTTTCTTCTTGACTCTTCTCGATATCCTCTATGGATATGGCTGACCTTGAATCGACTCCAAATACTGTTTGTACAGGGTCATGAATTTTGTCCTTGTTGTTGTCACGTGTGTCAGTCGCTGTTTGGCAATCTTCATTAACTTGTTCAATATTTAGGCTCTTGATGCCATCAACCAACCAACTGTACTTTTCTTCTTCGCCCGCTTTTAGTTTTTGCCGAAGTATCGCGGAAACAACGCCGAAAGAAGAGGCTATGAATACCTCTTCTTTGTGAACTAGTCGTCGATCCAAGTGCCCGCCATTTTTAAGATTCGAGAGTTGCACTGAGTTAAATTCTTTTGGAAAGCTTGACACCAAAGGGCTACTCGACATGAATTTTCCAACAGGAATGCCGTATATTTTGGAATTCAGGAGATACCAGTCCCTCGAATCGCTCGTGGAGTGCAGCAATTCAGCTCTTCGAATATCGAAGGCATCCATGCCGCACAGCACCTGATCGAAATGAGAACAAAATTCCCGCTCTTGTGAGTAATGTCTGAAATTCAACCTCAAGAAATGTCAAAAGAAAAATCCAGCCCCTCAAAATAAACAGGATTGACGCTATTGGAGGTTGTACACAACGGTGTTAATGTGATCACCGAATGCTCCCCTGTTGAAACCACAAATCGAAAGCGATGATAGCTACTGAGCCGGATCATGACGTCACACCATAGCAACCAAACCCCACGAATTTTTGAACATCCGGTTTGCTCTGGCTCGTCATGAATGATTGGTTACACAGCTGCACGTACCAAGATGGAGTCCTTCGTCGACCGTAAGCTGGCGACAGATGAGCAGGAATCGTTCAAGATTCGCCTGATCACGACTGAAGAAGAAATGCAAAGGTTTACAATAAAACCAATGGCGAAGGAAGGCTGGCGGCCGGGCTTAAAGGACGCCGAATTGTTTCTCGCTTGTGATCCCACGGCAGCTTTCGTTGGTGAACTGAACGGGAAACCCATAGCCACTGTTAGAATTTCAAAATATGGCGATAGCTTTGCTTTCATCGGAGCTTATCTGGTGGACAAGGCATATAGAGGAAAGGGTTACGGTTTGAAGATCTTCAATGCCGCCGTGTCAAGTGTGAAGCCAACCAGCAACATCGGATTATATGCTTTGCTTCACCTCGAGAAAATGTATGAAAGAAGCGGATTTCGAAGTCACTTTCATGCGGCACGCTATGACTTCCATCTCCCGACAACCATAGCCTGTTTCCCTGAAATACTGGAGAAAATTTCCGTAGAAGTCAAATCTATAGAGGACGTAGAACTAGAGAACATATTTCGGTACGATACGCATGTGTTTGGCTTCGAACGTAGCGCGTTCTTATCGAGATTACTTCGTGCAGAGGGTACCCTTGGATATGTGGCCGTCAACAATGACGGTTTAACCGTGGGTTACATCTCTGCCCGACCGACTTTTCTTCAAGAGGAAGGTTACTTAATAGGACCTCTGTTTGCGGATTCTAAAGCCATCGCAGAGAGGCTACTGAAGGCATTGTTCGAAAAGCTTTCTCATGAAGAGAAAGCTGCCCCATTGGTTTGCATGGATGCCTCAACAAAGCAAGGCATGGAACTTGGAGAAGAACTTCAAGGAAAAAAGGTGTTTGATTTGGTTTACATGGTGACAAAGGGTCTCCCTAATACCTGTTTGGAAAAGCAGTTTGGTGTCACTATTGTTGACCTTGGATGACACAATAAGGAATTTAAACAATGCTATAGGTGTGTATCGGCTGAAGATCAACTTCATTGAGATCCTCAATCAAAGTTGGGAATTCCTAACATAAGTGAAATGTGAAACGCGTGTCTGGCCTTTTAGAGCAGTGTATGATAAAAGAAAGAAAAAAATATAAAAATCGGTCAAATCAGATGGGATTTTGCTAACCCGAGGAACTTATTTCCATTAAAACTTGTTCATACATTTTCTCAAGTGGTAGAACTTTAAATAAAGTGTATTAGAAGTTTATTAACATATTGTTTCAATTAAATACATTCAGGTGTTTTGTAAACCGTTGGGAACACATTTTTGTCGTCAAATGATGTACTCCTTTTCTTTCTTGTATATTTTGGGGTGAAAAAATAAAGTTGTTGTTGTTGTTGTTCCTTAGTGATTCAACTTGTTCTATGGTATTAACAACAAGCACAGTAATTAAGTGAATTTTAATAGACGCCCTTCAGGCATACATTGAGTCAAATTTCCCTGTGGAAAAAGGGATGAGTGTGGAGCTGATATTTTAATTCTCCACGAACAGATACCACACCATAAGTGCCACAACATCTTAGGCTGCATATTTGTTCAGCTGTGCAACAAGCTTTCCCGTATTTTCCTTAATCTAGATTATTTTAAAATAAGTGATTAAAAGTTTAAAGGGATCCAGCTGAATTATGGCTCATAAAAACGTGCACTTTCTACCACAACAGTTACGGAAGAAAAGGCTCTGCCTCAAAGCTTGCAGATGAAATTACGAAATGTTCACCTAAACTGGAAAGGTGCGAAGACATGTAATACTTAAAGGAATATTTTAAGATGCAGCTAACGAGGAAATGTCTAATTTGAGGTGCATGTCTTGTGGTAAACTACGTTTGTTGATGACAGGCACTTCGGTAAACTTGTCACCTAAACTAGCGCTGGAAAATATGAAACCATTCTTCATGTACAGTTGAATCGCTGGCACCAGTGTAGACGTTGTTTTTAAGAAAACCAATTTTATTCTATTTGTCTTGGCATGTGAGATAAGTTCATTAATCAGGTTATTAGCGATCCCCATGCCCCTACAACTCGGGACAACGTACATGCGCTTGAGTTCATAGACGCCTTGTTCGAAGTTTTCCTCGTGAACGAGGCCCACCATCCCAACAACTCTTCCATTCAACTCTGCTACCCACAAGTGCGACTGTTGAATCGACATGTAGGACTCTTCGATGTCCTTTAAATCACCTAAATTCAGTGTATGATTAATATAGAGCCAGCCTGTCAACTGCAAATATATGCAGATGAATGCCAAAACCATGCATGCCATCACCACAAACACAGCAAAGATCCATGCCGACCAAATTACTGCTGCAAGTATGGCAAATATAGCAGCCATGACAATATACCTTACCAGCAATGATAAATATATTACTGTGATACTCTCTATAAACTCTTGATATCCATCCTTAAATATGTTTTGGCATGCTGATTGGTCCTTACGTTCGAATGAACGAAT